ATAGTTATAATTTTTTCAATTTTATAGCATGTTATTTATTGTTCTAGATTTCCAAAAATTTGTAATTAATTCTTTGACAAAAATAAAATATGATTTAACTGCATTGAACAACACGGTACAAACTTCATATCTTTGGATACATTTATTGAAAACTCACATAGTTCAAACTCATCTGAATGTATTAATTATAATGATCAGTTAAATCTTGATGAATATTTTCCTATTACCAACGAAGAGGATCTGAATAACCTTGAAAGCAAAATTCTTAACAAAGATTTTAAATCAAATTTGGTATGTTAGTTTTTAAAAATTATAATATTCATAAATTTTCCATAAGTTATTAAAATATGTCAAAATTGTTAGCCAAACTAAAAAGTACTAAAAAACTCATAATTGTTTTATTATAATATATATATTGTTTATTTAATTATATATATAGGTATCAAAACTAGCTTTATTGGTGGGAGTTAAAGATGCTGGAGATAGCATAAGAAGAATTATGTCAAAAATGTTCTCTGATGAATTTCTCTGTGCATATTCACTTCAAGGTTTCAAAAAGAAGAAAAGTTTTATCAAATTAGGAAGTTACAGTGTATTAATTGGTAAAGAAATAATATATATTTGTATCTTTTAATATTATAGTGATTTTTCCAACTGTGGCAATGGGAATGATGTATATTGGAAACACGTGATTCACAAAAATAATATTATTACTATTTGTTATTATACAAATTTAGCAGTAATTAGAGTAATTTTTGGGACTGATAAACATTACAATGATAACGCTGTTATGTTAAGACACACATTTATTTGATAAAATTTTTAACTATCTTATTAATTAGGTATATCATATATTATTGATTATCAATCCTAATTAGATTAATGACTGTTTCCAGACTTGAACACCCTGTGTTATATTATCTTTTATTTTTAAATATAATATACATTTTTTTTTCGTTTATGTCTATATAATATATACTGTACAGTTTATATATTATATACATACAGTGGTGTCACAAGGGCACTTTTTTGGGGCAATTAGGGTAGATTGCTGAATTTTATAAATGGGTGGCAGCTCTATATTATAATCCTAGTTAAAGCTGATGACTAAGCTTAGTTGTTATAAATTTGACAGTATAAAATACAACTTTAGTCTATAGGTAATTTATACATTGCCACAAAATTGAGTGGGTGATTTTAATGTGATCTATGATTCAAAAAGATACTACTGTATGTATAATATATATACAGATAATAATTAATAATAATATACTTATTACAGCTTATATCTTATAAAATCTTCTTTACAGATTCCTTAAGAATTCATCCAAAGTATAAATCAATTGTTGAAAAAGAATTCCATGTGCCATTAGCAGTTTGGTTGGCGCATGCCAAATATCGGCTTGCTAATAAAAATGTGTGAAAACTAATTTTCCATAATACTTTAATTTGTTCAATATATATTTATTATAAATATAATAAAAAAAGATTTATGTAAAAACACAAAAATATGTTTATTTTAATTTTATTAATGCACCTATATATATGTTATCATACTCTTTTCTATGTATGATTATTATTATGTTATATAATGTTTTGAAGTGTAATTTATTAAAGTTTATAGTACCTAATAATCTAACCTAACCTCATAAGTCATAACTCTCCAGTAGTGTACATTTTACACTGAGGCAATTAAGTTATTTGAACAAAATTATTTAATAATGAATTATATGAAGTACACGAAATAAGTATGCAAAAATTAAGTTGATACTGTTAAAATATTAAAAATATAATCCATTGTATTTTATATATAATATATATATATATAATTTCTAAACTATTGGATGAATGTTGTATGAACATAGAAATAATATTTTTGAAACATAATTTAAAATACATAAAATATTTCAATAATATTTTGAAACTTAATTCTCATATTCTCAAAATATTAAACAATGTTATAAACACAATATTATACTTAAAATATTTTCAGAACAGTATTGCTATAAGATTATAAAAACGTTAAAAGCGTGGCCAAAAAACCAAGGTAGAACATTCTAACAATATTGGAATGATATTATTAAAACTCAATCTGAATCTTCTTATAACATTAATGTTTATTTTAGAATATTATTTTAAAGTTCTTGAAATATAATTTTGTTGTCTGGGTATACATGTTCCTTTTTTTAATTTCAATAAAATACATTACATTACTTTGGGTTTTTAGTTTGTACTCGGGAGTCACAAGGTTATCCTATAGAATAGCTACTCAGTGTCATCATTGGTTGCTCATGTTGGTAGTTAGATATTCAATTGTAGAATAGAATTGAAGTTAAACGTTTATCAACATCGATCGAATCAGCCTGCATTTACAACCACCGTTACTATACTACCAAAGTAATCCCCCAATTATATGTTAATATATTTAAGGGCAAATAAGGTGAGAAGGTCAGTCAACGTTTTTAACTCATAATATGCAAATATTTTTAATAATATTACACATTAGGCAAAAATTTAAATTACACCGTTTTTATAAATTCGAATCGTGAAATTTGTCCATTTTTATATGCATTTAATTTTTGACTAAGAAATAAAATATGTTTTTCAAGTGTCGTCTTTGATAATTGTCCACTGCTTCTAATTTTAATGCAAATATCACATTGCAAATTCTTCATTACTTCAATAAATTGAAATATATTGGCATGGCTTGAATAGAACGTTAAATTAAATTTTGAGTGAATTGCTTCACAACTATTAGTTGTGCGTAGCATTGAATTGAATGATTCTGCCCATACCCGTGGAGTGAATAAAGCATGATTCATGATATAGTTATCCATTAAATAAGTTGCAAATTTTAAAACTAGGAATTATTTGAAACATCACAAGACATTAGATCAAACACAAATGCATTTTCTACTTCATCTGGACTGAGGAAGGCAAACCAAAAACATGCTTTAAAAATTTGATAATCTCGGAGGATTGATTCTTATATTCGGCGGATAAACCGAGTTCTTGAATTTTAACGCCACCAACTCTGACCAAGATGGAAGCGACAGCCTTTTCTATTGTTGGCCACACATCAGTGATAGCAGAATGAATTGCTATTTCAAAATCCACGAGAATACGTTGTACGTTTAATGTTACATTTAAACCAACAAAATATTTTTTATACATGCTCGAAAGCTACGAAATATGAATCTTGTCTTTTATTTGGTAATAATATAAATAATAATGGTATATATTGTTCATTTTTAATGGTGTGTATTGTGAACATTTGGTGGAAAAATTTCGGAGCACTCTTAAATGCACTATCAATAAACCACATTTCTGATTTAGCCAATAATTCTAAGAACAGGAAAATCCAATAATATTATTTTGACGATCGTTAAAAAATGTAATATTTTCCCCTCGGCTTGATATGATTTGTAGATTTTCAATTATTTCATGTACATCTAAAATGGATTATGATAGTTTTGGTAAAATTTGAGATCGAGCTTGATACATATTATCACGAATACGAAAAACGTCGTAAGAAGTTAGTGTTTCTACGTCTTCCTTGCGTAGCTCATTGTGAATTAATTTACATGGTCTATCGCACACATTATTCACAGCTTTTCTTTTTAAAATATTACTCATTTTTTGTCTATTTAGAATAGGCGTTTCAAGTTTTTCATGGTTATCATTAATTTTGCCTTCAATTATTTCAGTATCATTATTAATTTTTATAAAATACTTACATGACGTTTTTGTACATCTCCATCTCTACAAATCGGACTTTAATAATTTATGGAAACAAAATTTGTAACCATCAATTACCCAAAGAATTTTGTTCTTTTCACTTTTCATTTGCTCCATAGTGACGGATGATGTTTGACTGACTAGCAATTATTCGTATATTATATTACTATTTAATCGAATCGCGTCCAAAATTAAAATGGAAATACCAAATATATAGTTACATAATATATATAATAAAGTTCGTTATCTTAATATAGTAGATGGCAAATAATCAAGATAGATTAGTACAAATTTACAACGACAATCGTTGCAGAATAGCCATACACAGTACACGCCTTATCTCCACACTATAATAAAAATGGGCAGAATCGACTTTACAGACTTACAGAATCTTGTATTTCTCAATTTGAATTTATAAAAACGTTTTTATTTCAACTGACAAAACAACATCATTTTATTCTTGTGTAAAAATTCGATTTGAATTTATTAGCACACAACTTGTATACAATTTAATACAACTGCCGGGACACAACTCGTGTACCCTAATTTTATCACAGGGGCACAACTCGTGTGCCCCACTTTTATCATTGGGATACAACTCGTGTACCAGAAATTTAGTCAGGACACAACTCGTTAACTGCGCTTGTGATTAATATGATAGTTGAAGATCTATTACTAGGCGTGGTGAACTAAAAATGTTCCAAAGGCAAATTACAAGTACCTCAAGTACCCACCCAACACTATTATTACAGCAAGTAGTGGTGGGGAGGAGGTGCTTCAAAAAAAATTCTTTTAGAGTACCTTTTTTTTTCTTTCATACATACACATCTTCTTAGTTATAATATTAGTATCTTACTCATATTAATTTATTTTTGAATACATTTATATAGGTAGGTACAGATGAATAAATATTTTTTTATTTTAAAACTTACAGTAATACATTTCAAAAAATATTAAAATATTACTATAAAACAATATAAAATAAAAATGTGAATTATAAAACAAAGTAGATTATTTTTTTTTTGATAACACAAGGTAAGTAGATTATTTAACATACAAAAAAAAACTATTCAAAACTATCCAATGCATTTAAGTGTAACTAGTGTAAGCTTACATTGAATATTTAAACTAATTTGGAGTATTTTAGTTAGGAATAATAAAAATCTTACACTACCATAAATATTATAATAATGTATTATACAAAAGGTATAATAAATGAGAAAAATTAAAAAACTTAAAAAATATCTTAAAAATATTTTCCTATTCACTTAAATATTAATTTCTTTTTCAATAATTCAGAAGAATTCCCAAATGTATCAATAACTTTTTCAAAATTTATTGGCACATCTTTTTCACAACTTAAAATTAATAAGCTTTCTAAACGGGATTGACCAATAGTAGAAAGCAATCTTGTTTTTACTAACTTCACCTATAAAATAACATGGTATAAACATTAAATGGGTAAACATTCTTAGTACAAAAAACATTTTGAATATCAGTATTAAATCCTCATTATTTATTAGTTTTAAAAAAATTACCACAGAGAAGCTGCGTTCTGCTGTCGCTGATGATGCTGGTAATGTGCATAAAGATTTGTATGCGAGATATAAATTTGGGAATGCTGCTGTTAATCCAAAACTAGATAATATTTCTAAGACGTTCAAACTGTTGACCTTTCCTTTCATTACTTCTTTGTCTTCATTTGATGAACTAGTTGTGACTGAACTTACATCACTTTCAACATCAATTTTATCATTATGTAATTTATCTGGATAAAGTCCAAGTCCTTCCAACAGTTCAGATAAATTATTACTGAATGTGATATATTCTACTTTTAATAGTGATAAATCAATACTAGGGATCCATTGAGAAATATTCTGAAAAGCATCAATTGGCAAGGTTTTATTATTGTTACTGAATTCTATCATACGCTGAGGTGATAAAAAACATAAATCTTTTAAAATTTCACGAGATCCCTTAAATCGCATTTCAATTGAGTTAATAATTGTTTCCAAAACTACATAGTAAACTTCTATTCGAAATTTTTCAGATGGTAACGATGAAGTCTAGTGTGCTGCTTTTTCTCCAGGCATAATTTTTATAGTTCTTTTTCTTGTAACTTTAAAACTATTTTGCTCAAGTCAATTATCATTGGCAAATATTTTTGCATCATTTATTACATTTATACAACCTACTTCTGATCTCATAACTCGAAGACGGTGTTTTGCTACATCAACTAGTTTTATTGCAGCAATATAATCAATTGATATAGATTGTAAATAATTAGATACTTCTGTAGTAATAGCAAAAATATTTCTCATAAATATTAATATCAAGACAAACTTAAATGAAGTTATAATATTTTTGAAGCTTTTAGCATATGACATTGAATCTCTATCAAAATCTTTCCCAGTAGAAATTTCATCTAGTGAAGCAACCAATGCATTAAATTTTTCATAGATTACTAATAAAACTCTATCATGAGAAGTCCATCTAGTGTTTGAAAATCTTTGAAGACGACGTTTTCGTTGTTTAGGATATTTAATTTCTTGATATTTTAAGAAAACTGCAGTGCGCTTTCTTGTACGTAAAAATTCTACTATACTCGCTATTTCACCATAAAATGACTTAGAATCAGTACAATAGTCACAAGTATCTACAACCACCAAATTTAATAAATGAGCTGAACACCAAATGTAAACGGCACGGGGATTTTCATTTTGAATTCTTGTTCTTAACCCTGAATACTGACCTTGCATGGAGTTGGCTCCATCATACGCCTGACCTAAAAGCTCTTCTTTCCAGTTTATTTGGTATTTTTCTGTAATATCGCAAAATACATTGAACATTCCTAACCCAGTTGCATCAGGTGCAGCAGCTAAAGCTACAAGTCTTTCTTGCACTTTACCTTCTTCGCTAACAAATCGAATAATAAATGTATACTGTTCTACATTTGCTATATCAGTTGTAGTGTCAATTATAACAGAAAATAGTCCTGATCTTTTTACATCTTGTAATATCTTTGAACGAACCATATCAGACATTATATTCAATAATACATTTTGAGAGACATTATATAAAAAAGTTACACGGTTATGAGTACCCTGTGAATTAATCTGCTCTAAATGTGATCTAAGAGGTGCATGGTAGATTGACAATAATTTGATTACCTCTAAAAAATTACCTCTATAAGCTGAATCAATTTTTTCGTTATGGCCTCTAAGAGCAATTTTCTGTCTTGCAGTAAAAAGCAAAGCTTCTATTACACATTTTAAAATTTCACGGTTTTCAGCAACTTGTCGATTTTTGGATTCCAAGAGGTTTATATCAATGCGCTTATGGTTCATATATAATCCACGGGCAATTTCACTCTGTATGTGATCTGGTGATACTTCGTGTTGTGTTATATTTCTACTAATATTTTTATAGTCATTTGATCCATGTATTGCTAAATAATTTTGTTTTGCTCTAGGTAAACCAAAAAGTTTACAAGTATAGCAATAATATCTATTTAGAGATATTGAGTATGATATCCAAGTACGGTTAACAAATTTTCCATCTCCAAGTTTTTTGTAATAATAAGATTCATGAAATGATCTAACATGTCCTTTTGAATTAATAATAGTGTTTGGAAAAGTACAGTCTTTTAATTCAGATGGTAATGGTTGGCATGGGCCTTGTAATGAAAAATGATGAATAAGTGCAGATGATAAACTTTTGGGCTAAAGAGCTGGATCATTTTGAAGTACTACAAATAAATAATATAATAATTTATACTAATTAAAATGCCCTAAAAATAACAAATTAATTATTAGACATATTAATTCATTTTTTAATTTAGTATAATAATATGATTTTTATTAATGTAGACAATGTAGTATAATAATATGATTCTTATTTATTTATTATAAATATAAAATTATTTGATATAATTACCTGGGACTTGAAAGGCAAGTAGCAGGGACAATCGGTTCTTCATATATCACCGTGTTAGCATTTTCAACATCATAAGATTATTTAGTTACCTGAGTATTGTTCACATAACATTCATTCACATAATTTAGCCCATCAATTACATTTGTATCTAAAAAGCATAGCATAATTAATATTTGTATGACTATTAATTGGGTACAGGTCTAAAGCTGGGTTTGTACATTACGTATAAAACTATAAAATATTATTAAATATGTAATATTATTAGGTTGAGATTAATGGAGAAAAAAAACAAACAATTGAATCAAATGCATCAAAATTATACTTAAAATAAGAAATATTAAAATTGATGTACTTTAAATTGAAAGTAAATAGTAATGATTGTTAAATTATAAATAATAATAATTTATAAATTGGATAATATTTTTATTAATTTCAAATAAATATGTATTATTTAATTAGTAAATTTAAATATAATATTTTACTTACTTAACTGAAATATGAAATACAATACAACAAAAGCTACATCAATCAGTTATCCTATTATGTACTTATTATATTTACCAGCACTAGATGTATTATCCATTGTGCTCAGTGTGCTCACAATGTTTAAGTTTGGACCAATTTCTTCTGCAAACGTTACAGCATTTTCAGTCATCGTAATTTTCATAATATTAACACTGCTCGTAGAAGCTACATTATTTTTAAAATTATTGTCTAGCTCAATAATTACATTTGTATGTAAAAAACATAAGTGAAATACTCACAATATATTAAACTATTCAAACTTTAAATTAGAGATATCTTTTAACAAATAAAAATGTTTAAGAAGAATTTATATAATCTAAATATTTACCGATAATTAGAGCATTCACCATTTCTATTTTAAATATACTGAACATGGTTGGTAATAGGTATTTTTTTATATTTTTTTATGTTGATTAATATTATTAATATTATTTACCTTTACAAGTTTTTTTGGA